ATAAGAGTTCTAACGTTTTTACCTTGATTCTAATATTTGAACTATTACTGAACTTGAATATTAACAACTATTATAACGACAAGCAGCACTAGTGGTTATATGTTTTCCAAGTTGTTCACCAGAACCATATAATTATGTTATTCTTATTGTATATGGTTATTCTTACTTAGTTACTTCGCTGGTTCAGCTACCGAAAGAGGATCTTGGCCTTCGACACGAAACGACACCATGCTCTCTGCTCTAGGCTGGTTCTTGTCAATTGGCTGATTGGTTATTCTGCTTCATTGTTTTTTATTAATTAAATCATATATTTAAGATGCACTGCCAATCTTCCAAAGCTCATTACGCGTTGCCCTTCCCCTCCCGTTGTTTTTGAACAATCGCAATTATGTTTCGATTTCCGTGCGCCGCGCTCCGTGCCGTAAACGATTGCGAACTCAAAGAGCGAATTACTCATTCAATTCGCCGTCGCTTTCAATGGTTGTCTGATCTCAGACGTACAACGTCCACTCCTATTTTATTTCTTACTAGCCGGAGCTTGACTCTTATTTCATTTAGCAAAAAGTCGGAATTTAAATATAATATTATATAATATAAGAAAAATTTAAATATAACAAGAGGTCCGCAATTTAAGGGACTTTTGTACAACCATGTTAAGGCAACCTGTCAAGGAAACTTTTTGTCTATTAGACCCAATTATCACTCTGATTAACCTTTAATCGAGGTGAAGGCTAGGTGCCGTAGAATTAAGTTTATTAGTTTACTTGTACCCATAGCAAAAGCTTTGCTTAGTGACTAAATTGAGATGGTGTAAAATCAAAAAAAAAAAAAAGAAAATTTACGTATCTATTCTTGAATGAGTAAATAGCATGGATGACAAAATTTTTTTTTACAATATCCTATTTTAATAACTTCCAAGTGGAACGAAAATAAAATGTATACTTTCAACAATTTATTAAAACGAAATTATGTAATCAAAAACTGCAGGAGCAAAACACGTGTTTTTTTTTTTTTACTTTTTTGTTGATCCTATCTATTTCATTGGGTCCGTAAACGTGCGCTGCGATAAAGCGAACAATTTTGTAACAATTATCGATGTTATCTGTACAAGGCATCATAATAGTGAGTCTTAACAATGTTGTACGGCGACCTCGTCTTAGGTCCTCTATAAAATTATAGTGCCCCAGTGGTTAACAACTGACGGTTACTGCTGCGCAATATCAGTATTTGCGCAGTAACAGTTAAAGCTACCGTAAAGCTACCGCCTTACCTGTTACTGAAAGAAAGAAGAAAAAAAATATTTATTTGGTACATAACAAACAAAATACAACAGTCACTATAGCCTGTGGTGCACTGTGTGCAACTTTGTTATATAATGTTATTATTAATTTTGGTGACATAAAATTATAAATGTATACACAGCTCGCTTCAACTTTTCATCTGGCACGAAAGAGCTGGCTAGTTCGAGGAAGTATCACGGAAACAATGAAGACCATATTTCTTTTTTGCTTGATGAGCGACTGTTGGACTCACGCCCGGTTTCTGAAACACTGATTATCGTAGATGTCAACTAATCAGCTGTCAAATATCTTCTCAAATTTCATTTTAGTTGCCAAAAGGATGTGTCCGTGATACTTCCTCGAACTAGCCAGCCCCTTCGCTTAACATCTACGATGATCAATGTTTCAGAGACCGGGCGTTAGGGGCCTTTACAGTTTCGCCGGACTTGAGGTAGCACGGCGCTCGGGGCGCCTCGCATGGCCTGAAACTCGGCTATAGAAGACCAGCGTGTAGTGTAAGTATTATACTTTCGACTGGTGTGAGAGTAACTGGAGCTCTTTTCCTAATGGCTGTCTACTCTTTATTATGGAGAACGTTTCAAAATTTTCTTACATACAAATAAAACTACAGCGTTAACGTGGTTATTAGTATTTCCTCAACCAGAAACGTTCTTGTTTATCGGCCTGTCTGTTTAGGACTTATCGCGGAAAAGTTTGAATCGATTTTGATGGAGGATGGATATTCATTGAGAGATACAAACTGAAACTCGGTAACCAACAGTCAACTGGCGTCTCTTCAGATGAACATCGTAAAAATCTATTAAATCTAAAATTATCAGTTTTATCAGAATATGGGAATCATTGTTTCTGACAGTCCTACCGGCAATATCTTATTAATCATTCATAGTATTTTGATCAAATTTTTAAAAAATAATCTATAAAATCAATGTCTGAAAATCGGTTCGAAATAATTGAACGATTGAAAAAATTACTAATCAAGATCCACCCTATCTCAGACAATTATTTTTCATTTTAATAATTGATAGTTTTTAGTTTCCCTATTGTAATATCTGTTGCTATTGAAACCATTGAGAAGTAGTTTTAGTGGCTGCCATAACTGGTGGTATTCCCACACCGATACGTAAGTCCCACAGATATAGGGGTACAAGTAAGACCCTATCCTGCCTCAAAAATGGTGACATCTTGGCCCCCTGTGCTATTAATGAAAAGAAAAGTGAGCTCGGAAAAAAAAGGTGTTATCAAGTCTGACTGAAAAAAATGCGTTAAATATGCGTCATTCAAGTACTTGATATTTAAATTAAGTAAGAAGAGACACAAAAATAGAAAATACAGTATTCCAGTTCAAAGATGGGGCGAAAGAACTCCCCACGATGATTCATAATAATCGTAAAGAAGAGGTAACCTGGGACGTATTATCGTACGATGATGGCAAAAATGCAATGAAGTGTTAAAATTAAATGAATTTCGCTTCGTGTCACCCCTTGAATAGAACGCTACGCAAGGAGGTGGGTGGATGAGTCTCCTATTCCCCACCTACAATTCAATATAGTAATTACACGGCAAGCGCCATCGAGACGAGTGGATGCAATATTTATGTCGGTCTTACCTATACCTTTTCACACATGCGACGTAACGATAATCGTATATGTGCAAAGTTGTATTACGTTCTGCCATTGATGTTTTATGTACGGGTTAAGTTCTTTATGATTAGTTAATTTATTTATATAATAATTAAAACATCCATTAAAAATATGTAAATTGAAATTCTAATAATTAAAGTCCTTCAATTATTAGAATTTCAATTATCTTCATAATTATCTAGTCTTACACATGTTATACCTTTAAACTTTGTTAATTTATTTTCAGCCGATTTATGAAGCAGGGCCGTGTTCCTGTGTTGTAAGAACGTTTCAGAAACATAAAAATTTCACGTGGACCAACACCCAGATGCGAAACAACTGTGGGTCAAACAGCTGTTCCGTGTGGGAATCGAACGCACGACCCCCGACGCTGAAGCCAATACCTCGGTAACTGCGTCACGGAGTACTTTTGTACGCGTACAATCAGTGCGTCCCGTCATGACATGGAACGTGACGGTGAGGTTGGCCCACGGAGGGACACTTCGTTCAGCGAGGTACGAAAAGATCTATGCTATCTATCTATCGGTATTTCGTTAAGGGATAAAATCTGAAAGGTAATCATCCGGCAGAGGACCAAAGTCGTCGATGTAATCCAGAAGTGAGGCAGTCTGATGTGGAATGAGATACATTTGCCGTAAAACCAATGAGCGTTGAAAAAGGCGGGTTCCCAAATGGAGGCCACGTCTCGGTGACGCTGCCAGGTGAACAGATGACCCGGGAAAGGTCGCTGGTAGTGGCTGGTTGTGGAAAGCGGAAGATCGTATACTGAGGCGTGTTGGGGAGGCCTATGTCCAGCAGTGTACTGCACTTGGCTGATTGATTGATTTTGTATGCACGTAGACAAGGGGAAGTAACAAGAACTTCTATACTTCTTTAAAATTTTATTCCCTGTGCCCCATTAAATTTAATTGATAACAGTATGGTCGGTTTGCAACCAACTTCATCACTGCGCTTTTTTTTCTATTTCATTTCCTCTTATGTTTTTTCCTAAACGCGACAAAAGAAGTATAACTTAAAAAAAATGGAGTATGATTTTGTGTTTCCTTAATTGTGTCTGAACATCGTTCCAACTGGATGTCCCACGATACCTTTTGATTCTAATATTTAAACACCTTAGGATTAGTATAATTAGGTTTTAAGCCGTCTAATAGATGTTCTTGGTTTTTATGGACGAATTACATGAACAAACAAATCTGTAGTCTATCATGTATTAATGTGCCTGTGACTTCTATCAAAAAGCTGTTGTGTAGTATGAGTAATGATTTTTTTTTTTAAGATTGAATTGTCATACAAAAAGAAACGATGGAATAAAACAAAACTTACATTTATTTCATTGGTTCAGCTACATCTACTTAATGATACTTAAGAATATAATAATTCAACAACAACAACACGCACAGTACAACAACGCACTAAATAAGTGGTTACAATTGTCAGGACAAACAACAAACTACACAGATGTGCCTTAACTTCCACGTAAGAGTGGTACTCAGACAGTGCCATTTTCAGCCACCGACTGATTCGTAAGGCACACAGTAAATAGTAATAAAGCCCTAAACAGATAAATACTTTTAATCTATGGACAACGTATGAAGTTCAAACATACACATAATCAAAAAAAAACATAATATGTTATGTACTCCAGCTGTTTGAATTATACTGCGTATCTTAACAGAATATGGCATTACCGGGCCGATTCACGGAAATATAGTTCAGACCGAAATTAATTAATTTCAATATGCAATTAACGCGAAATTCCGATTACACCTACAGTGGCACTTCACTAATTAAAGCTTCATCAGTGCATCGTCCTCTACAACGTAAAACTCGATAACTAGGTATTAATTAAAGCCACAAATGCCCCAAGTTCGACGAAACAATCGCATCGCTCGCTCGCAGATTTTCGCATTGCAGTTAATATGGTTTCCAATTTGTGGAGTTTTTATTACCTAGAAACTCGACGTTATTCTTTCTTATATCGTTGGCTCAGGAGTTTCACTGGGCACTGCAAACGTTCTTGATATGTATCTACAACCAAAATTGTAACTTGTGATGGTTATTTAGGGAACTGCCACGTTGACTGTTGGGGCTGTTGAGGCTTGGGTTGCTGGGGAGCTTCTTTCACTGCCTCTGATTTTTGGCTAGCTGCCACATTGTTGTCACTCCTGTCCCAACCATGGGACTCGTGAACGTGTTCATGATGATCGGGCGATGGGAACCACTCTGATATCCAGACTGGCCGCCAAATCTTCTTCACTCCCGGCACCCAAATGTCCTTCCAATCGGGTACCCAAATCTGTTTCCACGCTTCCTTCCATTCTAGTTTCTTATCAGGAATCCAGATTAGTTTCTTAGAAGGCTTCCAGATCTGTTGCCAGGCCTCCTTCCATATTAGTTTTTTATCGTCGACCCAGATTTGCTTCTTTTCTGTCTTCCAAATTTGTTTCCATTCGTCTTTCCATACTAATTTCTTATCCGGGATCCAGATTTGCTTCTTAGCTGGTTTCCAATATTTCTTCCAAAGTGGTTTCCAAATCAGTTTCTTCTTCCAAAGGTCATGTGAAGTATATTCCCATCCATCATGATCCTTGCCGAGGTACTTTTCTCCGGGAACACCAACTTTGACCCACTCTGGCACCCATACCTTCTTCCAAGCTGGAACTTGTATTTCTTTCCATCCAGGAACAACGATGTCTTTGTATACTGGTACTTGAATTTTTTTCCAATCCGGAACCTTCACTTCTTTCCATGCCGGCACTTTGATTGGCTTCCACACTGGCTTGTATATTTTTTTCCAGTCAGGGACTTTGATGTCTTTCCACGCGGGGACCTTTGTCGGTACCCATATCGGTTTCCAGATTTTCTTCCAAGACGGCTTCCATATCTGTTTCTTGGACTTGTTCCAGATTTTCTTCCATCCCGGCTTCCATATAAGCTTCTTTTTCCAATATCCGGGATCATGATGATCGTGGTGGTCATGCTCGTCGTGGTGTTCCTCATGGTGCTCCTGTATGTGGAGCTCCTCGTGGTGTTCGTGGTGGTCGTGCAGATCGTGGTCGTCGTGGTGGTGTGCATCACCGTGGTAGTCATGGTCGTCGTGGTCGTCGTGGTGATCTATCACCTCATGATGGTCACCGTGGAGGTGGAGGTCGTCGTGGTCTTGGTAGGGGTTAACCAGGTCCAAGGGGGGAGCGGGGTAGTCATAGCCGACGCGCTTCTGCGCGCCTCCTTTTGCGTCGACCTGTTGCTGTACTTGTTGCTGTACCTGTTGCTCTTGAGGAATGAGCGCCTTTCCTGTGACTAGAGCGATTTGTATTACCGCTAGGGTAATCTGTAACAAAAGAAAACTTTATTCGATACGGTCACTTGTATATTTATGATGTGTACAATCGCGCAGCGCGGAGCTTGTATGACGGTACAGTCGCAAAGCTTTGGCATTACAGTTCACAGGCGCAAACAACCGTTAGAATATTATGGTTAAGGTCCACCGATCAAAAGATACATGTGTATATATATATATATATATATATATATATATATATATATATATATACATATATATATATAATACAATATGTTCAGGAATACGCTGCGGTCGGTCGACGGGAGTATCGCCACTCGGATCTACAACAAACAATTTCAGCAAAACACTTGGTTAAAGAATCCAATTTAATAATTCACGTAATACACTAGTTGCATAATGCTATAAGATTAACATCACGAGCAGAACAGACGGTTAGAGAACAGGGCAGTACAATAAAGAAGAGATTATCTTTGAAAAAATAAATGAGCGTTACGTAATTTATGTCCAATATTGTAAACGTTTAATGAAACCGGATGGAAGGACGGAAACGACTTTCATTTTTGAATTAAATATCGAATATTTAAACTAAGATCTTACATCTGTTTACAGTATAATAAACAACCTTAATGAATAAATAATGTTTATTCAATACCTTTATGCCAGCCCTCACTATAAGTAACCTTTTCATTTAAGATTCATTGTTATGACAGGATGCAAACGAACTACAGACAGGAGGTTTTATTACGGAGAGATCTTTTTCAATCCTCCTTTGAATCTCATCGAATAAATATATAACCCTTCGAGAAGGCACGGCTATAGACGTTACATTCGTTTGTATATTGAAAAGGAATAGACAAAAATAATCATTTGTTTTTTCGTAAGGATTCGTTTGTATATTGGAAAGGAATAGGAATTTTATAAAGCGATTGGCGAGTGCCGTGTCCCAAATCGAACGGTCGTGAGGCCACCTTTAGCGCGTCACGACGATACAAATCCGTGAATGCATTATGTAAACAGCAGAGAAAACCACCCGTGAAAGTTCATCTGTTTCATTAGCGAAGTTCGCACACGGGTGATAGCATAATGCGACACGGTGACAGTTGTGCAACCAGCCTCGCTCGCGAATGTTGAGGACCAATAAACATAACTCGTCGTACCACAAAAGACTTTGCGGTACTGGTATCGATTACTCTTGCCCGCGTGGATCCCTAATCTCATGCATAAATCCTCAATCCTATTAAATTAACGATGATTTTCTACGTATGAATACGTATACTTGTCACAAAGAAATTTCATTTGAACGTTCATTTTAGAACCATTCTTATCTTAGTGAATTATATTACTTAGTGTTGGGATAAAATTTAAAAGTGAAATTACAAATATGATATCGCAATACAGGAACAAGGCAGTATTTTAAGAGCCCTAATTTTATTAACAAACAAAGCGTTTGGCTCCCCGGCGAGCGAACATTTAAAACTATTCTGGCCGCAAAAGAAAAAGAAAACTGGTCGTAAGATATTAACAATGGAGCTCCTTTTCGAATTCGGAACACCGTGAATGGCGCCAACGTCGTAAACAGTAACGATGCCGAGCGGATTCTTAATGCGTAAATCGTACGCGTTACATAAGCATTCACGGCTAAATAAAGCCAACGCACTGCCTCCAACGCATTTATTACGTATAATTATGACTGTTGCCAAAACAAGACTGCGCTACGTTAACCTGCGGATGTGCGTTGCGTAATACCGATCGAGTGTACACTTATGTTACGCCATTACATTTCTAAAGACGACCCCGTTATGTCACAGACGTTAGTATCTCCCGCCGTTTTTGTTACGTTGGCTAATAAAAATTGGCTGCAATCAAATAATCATTCCGTGACGGGCTACCCAAAAGGTTTATCAGGTTATTAACCTATGACATGTCCATTGCCCTCTCATTTCTTTTTTAACGTTTATGACATTGACATCCGTTTGGTGTTTTATCATCAGCCTGACAATTATTTTGCGCGATTTTTCCGCTTTGAATTTTTTAGCCAACTGGGAAACGTTTCCGGACACATACTCAATAAGGCGGGAAGATCCAAGTAACACGATAGCGTCGGACAACATCACGAAGACGTATTCGACTAATGAGGGAATGGAGTAAGCGACTGCAAACATCTCACATGATATACTTGAACTAACTCAATTAATTCAATGTAAACCACGTACACCGGTGACGCGAGCCAGAACTCTAAAACTTCCCTAACTACACACGAGATTTCCATTCAGTGGGGAAACTAAACCGACGGACCTAAGTTTCCGAGAGATTAAAAACAAACAGCGAGCCGCAGGATACCGTTGAAGAAAATTGGTATCTGCTGTAGCCACTTAACTAAAGCAAGTCAGCTAGGGTTTTGTGGTGAACGGTGGGCACAGTAGGTACCGAGTATTATAGTGAGCTGACACATTAATTACTGTGAACGCTAACGAACTAACGTACGTACACGCGAAGCCATCAAACGGCCGATGCCACGAACTCTCCAATTGCAGCTTTTTACCGAAGCCATCTAAGCGAAAGTTCTAGAACCGCTCGAATAGATTCGCAGATACCTACGTTGAAATGTAATACAATTGACGAACCTATAAAAACAATGAAGACAACAATCGTAAGGAAAAAAGAAACAATGGACTCCCGATTCTTCGTAAGACATCGATCTCGTTCTTTTTAATTGACCATTTAAGGAATATACTTTCTTCTTGCGCACCGTCACCCAATACAATTGAATTCGATAAAATAAACTTTCACACGTTAGAATGAAATGTAAGCTTAGTCACTGCATTTTATGTCTAGATACACATAACAAATATTAGTCATATTTAAGTTACGTACAAATGTGCAAAATTACTATAAAATTCACAAATTGACAAATTCCGTACAAAAAAAAAACATTTATCAATTTAAAACCGAATATAATATCATTCAGCCGAGTTAAATTCGCGCACGAGTGAATCGTGAACAAATAAGGCTACGTTATTATTGCGAGCAACGCAAACCTACTACGGCGTAAATTTATTAAACGTTTCGATGTAATAATTATTTGAATATACGGTCAAACCAGCCGATTTGTATCCTCGGATGTGAGTGCAAACGAATTCCAAACGCGACCGGCATAGTTTGTTGTGCGTGTTTATATAACCTAAAGCAATATTTGACAATTGACAAGTCCGCGAGTAATTGCTCGCTGCGCAAACATCGGACGTTTAGTTTGAATGGCGTGTGTTCAATATTTAACATCGCCACTGGTTACGAACGCTTCAAAAGAACACCCGTGGCGTATAGTTCAATGCAAAACACTGGTGGGATCGTTCCGAAATATTTAACAGCGTCCACAGATGGATACAATACTGTACATCTTTACTACGCTCAACTAGATTTTTTTTAAAACTTTTATATTTAAAAAAGGAAACCGTCAAAAATTAAGGAAAATTTAAAACGCCGCCTAAACGAAACAAGCCGCTCTATCGTCGTACACTTGTGCCGCTGACCTAGACGAGCAAACACGCGACGCGCAATTTGGCGGGAAACAGTGCGAAGATTAAAACATTTTCTTGTGAACACTGACCACATGGCTCCAGAACCCTCGCATGGTGGGGCGGGGAACGGCCGTTCCAATAGCTGCTACGCCGGAACTGTTTTCACTCTATAACGTTACCTTGGAATTGTGTTTATATATATTCTAGCCCACCCCATATGCCGTGAGGTGGGGCGCAGGCATTCACTTTCGCTGAGTAGCCCCCAGCTCTTGCGCTCGAAATTTAGACCTGTGGGGGCAGGTAGCTTCCCACGTGCCTGCGCGCTTCAATTGGGCGGGAAACCTTATTTTCGTTAAGCAGCTTTTATAATAATTAATTTATGAAACTACTTTATACGTATTTAAAATTTTATCTGAATTTCCGTTAAAAGAACTATAAAAATTAAAATCATTTAAGTCTTACTAGCAAAGGTGACATGTCTAGTTTTCAAATATTTCATTGTAAAATGTCACAGTTATGAAAAAGTGGTCGATTGCTGTAAAGGAAACACACTAGATGGCTCCATGCGTTTCTTAAAATTCAATAAAAACAAAGTAATAAACACTTTGAGATTTTCCTCGGTGTGATGATAGGTATGCCGTTTAGCTCAGTGACTATCTCGTTGGGTCAGTACGCGTTACCGGACGCAGAAAAAATTTAAATTTGAAATTCTCGTAACAAATAAGAATATATTTATGTCCGTTTGTTTTTCTTTGAAATTTATAAATTTTCACTAAGTGCATAGAATATCACTATAATTACGAACGCAGACGAATATAATTTTACTAATGGACTATGTTCTCATATTTTAAGATAAGTGACAACCTTTTACCAGTTATCCTAGCAGAAAATTTGAGTTAGTAATTTAATTAAGTCCGCCCTTTGTAATCCATTTTTTTAAGGTTTTGCAATAAAGCATAAATTAAATAAAATAAATAAATTAAATTTGGCATATTTAAGGTTTCACAACAATTTTAAAAAACTCGTAAAAAGTAATGTACGGATAAACTGGATTATTATAAAAGAAAAATAATGTAATATGTTTATTGTATCCCTTAAAAGACGTTGTAATGACTGATTGTCTTTAAAATTGTCGGGTTGTCCTTTCGCCGCCGACCAGCCCAATGCGGATTCCTTTTAACTTCGCCGTGGGAAACAAAAACCCGTCAGTCCTGTCTAGGCACGATTAGAACTTACAGGTTGGCGGGGAAGCTCTAATACAGATGTTCTTAGGAGTATCCACTACCGCGCAGTAGGACCCTTCTTACTTGGGGAATTAACTAATTGATTACTGAACTTTTTTCTTAGTAAATAAACGTTGGTTAAGCGAAACATGCCCAGATCCGATGTCCCCAGTGTTCTACTGTTTTATGATAAAAATCACAGCGGAGTTTAACTATTTTTAGTTATCGTAGGGCTATGATGCACCTCTTGCTGCTGTATGGATGGGCTGAACACCGCTTTTTGTTTGATCAACGAGATAACCCAGGCCCGCTCTTATAAAAAAAAGTAAAATTAATAACCCATAAATGTCTCACTGCTGGGCAAAGGCCTCCTCTGTACCGAGGGTATCAGGGCATAGTCCACTACGCGGCCTCATTACGGATTGGTGGACTTCACAAATTTCCGAAAAATTTTTTTTGTTACTAATTTGAAAATATGCAGGTTTCCTCACGAATTTTTCCTTCACAGCTGAGCACGTGATTAGTCAGCACTGATAATTAACAATTTGATTGGAGCCGGCACCGGGGATTGAACTCAGGTTGCTCGAGTAAATTGAATTAAAGGCGAGTACCTGGACACTGGGCTATCCGTCTTTTCATCCATTCATTTAATTAAACATTCATTACATCAAAAGTCCACGGCTGCAGCGCTACAAAGGAATATTAGACAAAGGCCATCCAGTGAAGATAAAAAAAGAAAAAATATACTTTACACTGAAACTTCACTCGAGTGAAAATCATATTCTTTTTATTTCCAAACAAATTTAATATAATTGGCGCCAGCAAACGCTTTGAAAAATTATGAGGAACAATTAAGCTCTAATCATCAAAGCCTCCTTTTTCCCGGAAACTACTCGTCAGTGTGTCCTTTATTAGAGAAACTTTATATAAAATTTACTTTATGAAAA